CGTGAAAATAATAATAAAAAATATAACACTGACAATATTAAAATGATTACATTTAGACAAGAAAGCAAGCGTCCATGCTTAAGTAATTTGTGGCATTTTCCATCGGTCGTAATCCCTTCCAGCCACAATGTGTCCTGCCTATAGCCCACTGACATTCCTTCACAATACAGATGCCTCTGATTTGCGCCAAGTTCTCTAAAGGGTGCATTCCTCTTTCTGTCTCGCCGTGTCATTCCAAACACGCACGCCTCAGTGGCCCTTTGAGAACTTTTCACGCATTGTGTAATGTTGTTTGACATTGTCCATGTTTCCAATCCATGTGTAGTGAGTCCAACTGAGTCGCAGACGTTGTTCCTTTTTAGAGGCAACACATTTATTTGTAACATGTAACACAAAGGCGTAACTGCCCCTTCACCAGATACAGCCTAGGGTGGTGACCACCCAGCGAACTACTCTATACAGAGGAGTTACTGCTACGAAGGGTCGGGCCCTCTTACTCGGGTCTGCGACCACGTGTTGATGCCTCGTAAGACGTGGAGCTTCCAGCTTGAGATGTAGGGCTTCAGCTGGTGGACGTGGAGCTTCAGCTGGTGGACGTGAAGCTTTAGCTGGTGGACGTGGAGCTTCAGCTGGTGGACGTGGAGCTTCAGCTGGTGGACGTGAAGCTTTAGCTGGTGGACGTGGAGCTTCAGCTGGTGGACGTGGAGCTTCAGCTGGTGGACGTGAAGCTTCAGCTGGTGGACGTGGAGCTTCAGCTGGTGGACGTGGAGCTTCAGCTGGTGGACGTGAAGCTTCAGCTGGTGGACGTGGAGCTTCAGCTGGTGGACGTGGAGCTTCAGCTGGTGGATGTGAAGCTTCAGCTGGTGGACGTGGAGCTTCAGCTGGTGGACGTGAAGCTTCAGCTGGTGGACGTGGAGGTTCAGCTGGTGGACGTGAAGCTTCAGCTGGTGGACGTGGAGCTTCAGCTGGTGGACGTGGAGCTTCAGCTGGTGGACGTGGAGCTTCAGCTGGTGGACGTGGAGCTTCAGCTGGTGGACGTGGAGCTTCAGCTTGTAGAATGCGGCGACCCCGGTCCCTCTCAGGGACCCGCCTTATATCCTCCCGGGTCGGGGCCGCTCCGCCCTCGGCCCCGCCCACCTTCTCGAGCCTTCGAGCTCCCCCTCGATCCCTCTCGAGAGCTCCCCCGGACACGTGATCACCCCCTCGTCCCCCCACCTGGGGGCCTCTCTGTGGACACTCTAGATCACGTGTCTGCAGGGTCAACCAGAGTGCCATGGCCCGAGGCAACCCTGCCCCTGGGCTGCCACTCTCCCACTCCCTCTGGTGGGAGTCCGCACCGCACGCTAAACGTGGTAGCATGTAACGAGCAACCTTTTACCCGTGGCTGCACCACGGAAAGAGGAGGAGAGAGTCAAAGATGAAATGTATGGGCATTTTTTTTAAGGAATGGGAAGGGGGAGAGCATGAATGGGGAAAATGTGGAAAACGAATGGAGAATCTAAAACTAAACTACGTAATTCATATTCTTAGCTCTTTCGGTAAAGTCACATTGAAGGGAAACAATAAAATAATAAAACATATAAAACAATAAAACAATTCCCACGACGTTTCGACCAAACACAAACGGTCGTAACACCGTTGTGTTATGGTCGAAACGTCGTGAGAATTTTTTTATTGGTTTATATATATTTTATTATTTTATTGTTTCCCTTCAATGTGACTTTACCGAAAGAGCTAAGAATATGAATTACTGCAGTCACGAAAGCTTTAAATAAAAAATTTAAACTACGGTACTTTTATTTTTACCAGGCAAGGCCCACTGAGCTGCACGACTCTTTTTTCAGAAGCGACCTGGCGATCACAAACTATGGCTCAACGGCGTGACTTGTCGTCATGTGGGAAAAAAATATATAAAGCAGCCAAATACTCCTAAACGCACACTGATTCAAAAATGTGGAGGGGAAAACCCCCAGAGGACCCGGAGGAAAATCCACGCGACTACGGGGAGAGAGACACCACAAACCCCAAATATTACAACAGGCGTCAGGGTCGGGATCGAATCCATGACCTCTTGCATCCTAGGCGAGGGATTTAACGTCTCGCCACCGGGAGCGAGGGGTTAGGGTGAGGTGATGAGGAAGAGGCTACGTTAGGGCGTCTGTTCTCACAGGGGGTGGGGAGAGGGGAGGGGTTCAGGGTGGGGGTGGCCACGTGGTTAACGAGAGGCTTGGGCTGATTTAAATATACTGCGCAGTACAGATATGCACTGATTGAAAACTTTATTCTGCAGGCACATTGATTGGTTTGTTGCTTCATATTATAAATTGAAACGTTGTGAAAGCACTGAAACATGCTCTCTCTCCCTCCCATTTAGAAACATGCATGTAGATTATTTTAATCATTTTGCTGCCATAAATGTCCACATGATGAGCCATTGTGTTGAGCTATCATTTGTGTCCAGGTCGCTTTTGAAAATTAAGTTAATACCTCAGTGGGATTTGCCTGGTCGGACGGTTTAGTTGAATGTGTATGTATTTGGGTGACTTATTTACCTTTCATAACGTTCTTACCAGCCCCCTAATGGGCATCTGTGAAAAAGAGCTTGATAGCTCATCGGATTCCTCCAGTGTCAATATTCTGATCTCTTTCTAGTTCATTTTGATCCCAGTCCCCTTTCAATAACTGTCATAATAAATAAATGCTGAATTGCCTTTGAATTTTTTTTAAGTAGCCTTCAAAGAAACGTCATTGTAAAGAGGAAGACAACAACAAAAAATTTAAATTACAAATCCACTCAAGCTAATCAATTCAATCCGCCTCAAATTCCACCGTACCAATCAAAACTTAAAAAGTCGACCTAGGCTCGTCACCAAGCGCCAGCAGTTCCTAAAAGCGTTGAGCAATTTGCCTTCTCAGAGCAGCCTCGCGTTGCTCAGCAATACATTCACGTGTTTGTGTGTGTGTCTCTGTGTGTGTGTCTCTATGTGTGTCTCTGTGTGTATGTGTGTGTGTGTCTGTGTGTGTCTCTTTGTGTGTGCCTCTCTGTGTGTCTGTGTGTGTGTCTCTGTGTGTGGGTCTCTGTGTGTGTGTCTCTATGTGTGTCTCTGTGTGTATGTGTGTGTGTGTCTGTGTGTGTGTCTCTTTGTGTGTGCCTCTCTGTGTGTGTCTCTCTGTGTGTCTGTGTGTGTGTCTCTCTGTGCGTGTGTCTCTCTGTGCGTGTCTGTGAGTGCGTATCTCTGTGCGTGTGTCTCTGTGTGTGGGTCTCTGTGTGTGTGTGTCTCTGTGTGTGTCTCTTTGTGTGTGCCTCTCTGTGTGTCTGTGTGTGTGTCTCTGTGTGTGGGTCTCTCTGTGTCTCTTTGTGTGTCTCTCTGTGTGTCTCTGTGTGTCTCTCTGTGTGTCTCTCTGTGTCTCTGTGTGTGGGTCTCTGTGTGTGTGTGTCTCTGTGTGCGTGTCTCGCTGTGTCTCTGTGTGTGTCTCTGTGTGTGTGTCTCTCTCTGTGTGCGTGTCTCTCTGTGTCTCTGTGTGTGGGTCTCTCTGTCTCTTTGTGTGTCTCTCTGTGTGTGTCTCTGTATGTGTGTCACTGTGTGTGTGTCTCTGTGTGTGTGTGTGTCTCTCTGTCTCTGTGTGTGGGTCTCTGTGTGTGTCTCTGTATGTGTGTCACTGTGTGTCTCTGTGTGTGTGTCTCTGTGTCTGTGTCTGTGTGTCTCTCTGTGTCTGTGTCTCTCTGTGTCTGTGTATGTGTCTCTCTGTGTCTGTGTGTGTGTCTCTCTGTGTCTGTGTCTCTCTGTGTCTCTGTGTGTGTGTCTCTGTGTCTCTGTGTGTGTCTGTGTGTCTCTCTGTGCTGTGTGTGTCTCTCTGTGTCTCTGTGTGTGTGTGTCTCTGTGTCTCTGTGTGTGTGTGTCTGTGTGTCTCTGTGTGTCTGTGTGTGTCTCTCTGTGTGTCTCTGTGTGTGTGTCTGTGTGTCTCTGTGTGTGTGTGTCTCTGTCTCTGTGTGGGTCTCTCTGTCTCTTTGTGTGTCTCTCTGTCTCTGTGTGTGTCTCTCTGTCTCTGTGTGTGTGTCTCTCTGTCTCTGTGTGTCTCTCTGTCTCTGTGTGTGGGTCTCTGTGTGTCTCTGTCTCTCTGTGTGTCTCTGTGTGTCTGTGTCTGTGTGTGTGTGTCTCTCTGTCTGTGTGTGTGTCTGTGTGTCTCTCTGTGTGTCTCTGTGTGTCTCCGTGTGTCTCTCTGTGTGTCTCTGTGTGTGTGTCTGTGTGTCTCTGTGTGTGTCTCTCTGTCTCTGTGTGTGGGTCTCTGTGTGTGTCTCTGTCTCCGTTCGATCACAGCACTTGCCCTAAGTCTTTTTGAAGGCTACACGGGGGATCTTTGTTTGTGTTATGTGTGTGAGTGGGGAGCGCCAACACCCAAAGTGACGATTATCTGAACCGGTTCTGGGCCGCCCCTAGGTCGGCTCAGCCTCAAGCAAGTAACCCGGTGCAGTGTGTAAAACATCGCCACTTGGGGGGATACAAAGGCGGCCGGGCGTGGTTGCTGCCCGCCCCCCCCCCCCGTGCCGACCTTCATAGGCGCTCGCGACTCGCTCACAGCACTTGCCCCCCACCGACAGTCCGTGACAGGCTACACGGGGGACCTTTGTCGTTGTTGCTAATGGCAACGTCTACGCCCCCCCCCTTCTCCTACGCGACTTGCGGTGCTGGGGTGGGGGGGCTATATCGCGCGCATGTTTACACGCGGCGCGTGTCGCCAGGGCGGTAACCCGGGGCGGCCGCTGCCCCACCACAATCAACAACAACCCTACGCGCGAGACCCCGCCCCCCTCCTGCCCCCGCCCCCGATTTTGATTCCCCAGCGCGGATGCGAATCGTGGGGGCTCGCCATTGGCTCGCTGCCAACACGGGCGCCCCCCCACCATACAACTCCCCCGCCCACTCTCCCAAACAGCTCGTCCAATGGAGACGCGCGCCGGGCAAATTCGTTGACCTCGCTCGGCCAATGAGGAGCGAGGATGCGCTCGAGCCCGCAGATGCGCGCTGGGAAATTGAGCGCGCGAGGGTCTCCAACTCGCTGTCGGAGTTCGCGGATCGGCCGTGCCCCGGGGTTGTTTCTCTTTTGATGGCGGGGGGAGTTGACATTTAGAATTGTTCATCTCTACGTTGTCGTCGTCGTTGTTGTTGCTGCTGCTCAAAACCGAAGACGTCGCAGACATGTTCAAGAACACGTTCCAGAGCGGCTTCCTGTCGATACTCTACAGCATCGGCAGCAAACCGCTGCAGATCTGGGACAAGAAGGCAAGTGGCACGCGGCGGCGAGGGCCTTGCAGCCACGGCGAGGGCCTTGCAGCCCACGGCGAGGGCCTTGCAGCCACGGCGAGGGCCTTGCAGCCCACGGCGAGGGCCTTGCAGCCCACGGCGAGGGCCTTGCAGCCCACGGCGAGGGCCTTGCAGCCCACGGCGAGGGCCTTGCAGCCACGGCGCCGCCGCCGCTTTGCTTCTGCGCTCGCCTTTGAATGGCGGCGGCAGCAGCGGCAGCGGCCTGTTTCTGCTGGGCCACGACCAGAGAGGGCTTCAGGAGACGCGGGGTTTTGGGGGGCGGGGGAGTTCGTGGGGTGTCGCCGTTCCTCCCGCCGTCGGAGTCGCGCGGGGCACGGTGTTTTACTTAAACGTGTCCAGAATTTGTGTGGAAGAGTAGGCCAAGTTACCCTCTAAGACAGCGGGCGGGGGGGGCGGGCTCTGTGGAGCTCCCTCTCGTGGGCGTGAGCGAGCGGGTGCAGGGCCACTGTGCCGCTACCTGGACCTGACGGGTTCTCAGACACGTGTCGCACATTAGTAACGCTACGTCAGATAAACGTGCGCGTGACTGACGCGGCGCTGTGTTGTGGCGTTCACGACGAAGGAGGGGTTCGAGAGCTGAGGAATTCGGCTCGTGCGTTAAGGATTTACGCGGTGGTGGGCCCAGGTTGTTGAATCGTAACCACTTTTGACGGAGCGGCTTGGGTGAAGCCTTCATCCAGCGGTGCCCTCTGCTGCCCACCAATAGCTCTGCAGCAGCCGAATTAAAAACTATTTTTTTTGTTATTCATAATGCAGGTTTTTTTTATTTGGGTTAGATCGCGCAAATATGTAAGTGTGTCGTTAAAACCGCCACCACCTGACACATTCAATTAGTGAGCTTTGAGAATAGGTTTTCCCCTTTTTTTCTGGCAACAAAGTGAGCTTTGTCACGTAAACAGAACTTGCCAATTCGTTACTAGTTGGAGAGCAAAACCACAACATTTACAATCTGAGTACGAAGTTTCGCCAGTAATTACAACTAGCTTCATCAGGCGACAGCCAGATTTGTGGATACATTCTCTCGCGCGATCTAACCCCCAAAAAACACCTGTATTATGGACGATATTGGTCGCGAAAGCCTACGTGTTACAATGCATTTTTAGTTTTACCAGGTAAGCCCCCTCACTCGCTATCACGAATGATGGCTCAACGAAGTGACTTGTAATGTGGGAATTCCTAGCAGCCAAATACACCTAAACGCATGTTGATGTTGATTCTAAATGTGGAGGAAAAAACCGGAGGACCCGGAGAAAAATCCACGCCACCACGAGTAGAGAGAGACACGCAAACTCCAAATATACAGCAGCAGCAGGCATTGTCAGGTTCGGGATCGAACCCACGACCTCCTGTATACCAGGCGAAGTAGTTAACATCTCCTAGCCACCGTGATGATGATGATGAGAGAGAGATACGCAAACTCCAAATATACAGCAGCAGGCATCGTCAGGGTCGGGATCGAACCCACGACCTCCTGTATACCAGGCGAGGTAGTTAACATCTCCTAGCCACCGTGATGATGATGATGAGAGAGAGACACGCAAACTCCAAATATACAGCAGCAGGCATCGTCAGGGTCGGGATCGAACCCACGACCTCCTGTAGACTAGGCGAGGTAGTTAACATCTCCTAGCCACCGTGGCGCTCTAGTCGGGCAGGCTCACAACGTGATTAGTTTCTCGAGATTTGACGATTGTAAAACATTTTAAAGTAATCTTACAAAATTATACTTGTTGCATGCTTTTCTGGCTCCATTCACCCAATGTCACGTAGAGAAAAACAAACTTAAAATGAAAAAAAAATCTGTATATTCAAGATGTTCCATCATGTGTGTGTATGCGTGTGTGTGTTTCTTTACTGCAGGTCAGAAATGGGCACATCAAGCGCATCACAGATAATGACATCCAGTCACTGGTGTTAGAAATTGAGGGAACAAATGTCAGGTCAGTGCCTAATAAACGCATACGTTGTCAAACAGTACAAGGTGATAATACCAATGCTTTAGAAAACGTTGACTACACAGACGAAGATTGTTTCTGCCTATGTAAGGCCGAAGGCTGGAGGACAAGTTGGATGCCGGTTTGTGATTACCAGCGAAAAACATCCGTACCCAGTTGTGAAATGTCGTGGATTGTCCTGTCAACACACCGGTGTGCTGCAGTGGCAGTAATAAATTGTCACTTCTATTATTTACGTGACAACTTTATGAATCGGCTGTAGCAGGTGAACGAGGGTGTATGACGCATTGAGCTTCCACGATCTGACGCAATTCTCAATTATGAGCCGTAATATTGGTCGCGAAAGCCTACGTGTTAATTTATCAGTTCAAAAATGTTTGTTTGAATTGTTGACATTCCACGAGTATATATATACACTATTGGCATTTTCGGGTTTATGCGTCTGGCCACGGAGGACGGTGCAACAGAACGCATTGCGCTGGACTTTCTGCATCCTTGCTTGTGCTGCCCACCACCAAATCGGCACTGACCAGCGTGGTGAAGTATGGTCAAATAAACCCCCATGCAGCGTGGGAGGCCGTCTTCCAAAAGTGCATTAAACAGTGCTGCATGTGTGTGTGTACGTTTGCATCGTTATACGAGTCCTAAAGATTGGCAGTTCTGTTGAGTATTTGTATTAAGTGAGACATCATTGCAGATGGAAATGCACATGGTAACCATTCCTTAAACAAATACTTTCGGCAGAATATAAACATTAACATGCAACTTGGTTTCCATAGAAATGTTACTATATACGCAAGTCATGAATAAAACTATTTTTAAACACGATACTTGTATCAAATTTTGCAATGTGATCATCACTTTTGATGCAGTTTCATTTTGTATAACGGAGTAAGCAAAACTGTAAAAACGACGTAAAAAACTAGAAACAATACAAATCAGATGCAACAAATGATACACAAGTAAATAGGCAAAAATATAATGAAGTATTTGATTTTTTAGTCTTAATCGTGGCACATCGGATCGCTGGGAGGTGCATCAATACATGTGTGCTGCAGCAGTGCGAGTAATGCTGCCCGTGATGTGAGACTTTGCTTTATGTCCGCAGTACTACATACATCACGTGTCCAGCCGACCCAAAGAAGACACTGGGAATCAAGCTCCCTTTCCTCATAATGATCATCAAAAACCTTAAAAAGTATTTCACCTTTGAAGTCCAGGTACGCACATTTCACAGTCACGTGTGTAATGACATAATTATAACAATAATAAACGAACTCTTTTACTAAAATACGTATTCCGTACATATATGTTTGGGGTGGAATGGTAGCTCAGTGGTTAGCACACTGTGCGATAAACCTGGCCATCTGAGTTATTTTCCTGACCACGTTTAATGTCATTCATTGGTGAATGATATCTCAGCAGTTGGTTGTCCCCACTTCACCAACCCATGCTGACCTGTGTGGTGAAGTATGGTCAATCACATCGCCATAACTGAGGAGGCCTTAATCCTGCATTTGATAAATAATAAACAATGTTAAACGATGTTATTTTTCGGCACGTAAAAATAAAATAACCTTTTTAGTTCTTTCAACCTATGTGCCTTGTGGACCAATGCATTCCTACTGGGTTTGTTTTAAGTCGGGTGACAAGTAGACAGTTTGCACCTCCAAATAGTACGAAAGAAGTTCAACATACATACACATATACAGTTGTTGTTAAGAGTCCACGGGTGCCCCCTCCCCCTTCCTTGCATTGGTCTCCTTGCACACAGGTGCTGGACGACAAGAACGTGCGCCGGCGATTCCGAGCCAGCAACTACCAGAGCACGACGCGCGTGAAGCCCTTCATCTGCACCATGCCCATGCGCCTCGACGACGGCTGGAACCAGATCCAGTTCAACCTCTCGGACTTCACCCGCCGAGCGTACGGCACCAACTACATCGAGACTCTGCGCGTGCAGGTGGTTGCTCGTCGCGTGCGGGCGATGGCTCGTTGTAACTCCTGCGCCTGCGCGACCCAACGCGGAAATGGGCAGAGGCGGTGTTACAGTCGTGGAGCCTCTGCGTGCTGTGGTTTGCATCGCTAACTACTGAGCTTTCTATGCATTTGATGGCCCCCCTTTTTTTTTATTGCGTGGTCTCGCACGGTCTTCGAAATGCCCATTTGGGTCGCGTGAAAACGGTGTTTCTGCTCGAACAAGCGCTGGGGCAGCACTTGTGTCTGCTTGTGAGCCCTGGGCCGTTGGAGGGACCTCTCCAGTTTGCTAGGCTAGTGGCTAGCGGCTAGCGGCCGTGTCTTTGCATAGGATGACCACTTTACTGCATAGTGGTCCTTTTTTTATTTGTTTGTAATTGTTTCTATATCACTCGATTGAATCTGCACTCTTTTGTTTTTCTCGTTTGTTAGTGTGTAAAATAATGAGCTCTCTCAACCCTTTGTGTTTCTACAATTACAATTTATAAGCCGGTAAGTTAGCGCCTGGCTCGCCATTCAATGATTGCAAGTTCAAAACCTCGCCAGGGGTTGCATCAGGCCTTCATGCCTCCTTGAGATCGATAAGTTCCGCTGTGTGATGTCATTAGTGGTTCTATGTAATTGCTCCTCCCCGCTGTGGGATTATGGGATTGCTGCCACTGACTTGAGGAATATGAATGGGGAAAAAGTACCTTCTCATTAGCGTTTGAGCACAAAACCACTTAAACTTTTTATTGTTGTGCATTAGCGCTGCTCTTTGTGTTAAGTTTTTTGTCCTTCCCTCACACCTCCGATTATCACGGATGGCTACGTACGGTGCAAAAGAAGTTCACACATTCATACAGCACGCTAGACAGGTTCGCATGCGTTTACAACATGCTGAATGTGAGAAATGTCAGTTAAGGAAATTAACCTTGTACCTTTTAATGTTAGAACTTTTTGAATATCAAAACTGCCGCTGCTGCCGTTTGGCTTCAGAATCAGAATCTTTATTCAGACTGGAGCAATCCGATAAGCTACGAAGCTCTTTTGCACTGCCTTCGGCGCGTGGGGCATGAGCGCTGCGCTGGTTTCCGAAATCTGTGTTTCCGTTGTGTGGCAGATTCACGCCAATTGCCGAATCCGACGGGTCTACTTCTCCGACCGCCTCTACTCGGAGGATGAACTTCCGGCCGAGTTCAAGCTCTACCTCCCCGTGCAGAACAAGAACAAGGCGAGTAGCCCGGCACGAGGTGGCCAAGGTGCAGTCCTGTGATCGCTCGCTGTCGAGCCCCTCCTGAAGGAAGGGGCAGAGTCTTGTGAAGTCCCTCCTAGAGCAGTGGTTATTCACAACCTTGTTTATAATAATAATAATGTAATTTTATACAGCGTCATTCATGCAATTGCATGCCACAAAGCTGTACATAAATTAGCCGACTGCTTGCACAGTTAATACAAAAGCAAAACCCCCAAAAAAATTAATACGTAAATAACGAGAGAAAAATCCACATTTCTTTGGCTACTACTGTGTACCCCCCTTGTTGATTGTTGTTTAAACCGAGTATATCCCCCCCCCCCTTTGCCTGACCCCCAACATGGTTGTGAGAAATAAATGTAATGAATAATAAAAATCACGAGTTTAACCTATTGTCCACTTTGTGAAGTATCCCTAACTAGCTAGTAACTGCAAGCGAACAAAATAAAAATGCAACGGACGCTCTGCATGCGTGGCGTCTTTAGCTGGCGCTCGCTGTTTACTATCGATGAGTTTAGAAAGGCCTTTTATATCGTTCTAGATTACCATATGGATTTCAATGTTATAGTTATTTTATATTGGCAGATTCATAGGTGATTATTCACCAACGATTCTCGTGCACAATATAATTTCACACGTTTATAAATAACCTCTTCGTACCCCCGGGGACATTTCCACATACCCTCAGGGCTCTGCGTACCCCCGGCTGAGAACCACTGCTCTCGAGGGTAATTCGGCCGGCTCTTTCACGCTGGCCACATTTATTTCAAGAAATTGGAGTACCCCCTCCAATGACACATTATCAGGTCGCACTGATTCCACTCCACAAAGTGTTTGCTACAAATGAACCACAATACCTTGCTGATCTCGCCAAGGAGCAAACAACATCCCATCAACTCTGGGCATCCTCACAGCAGTGGCTTTTGGCTAATAATTATTGTTAATTGAACAAAGACGGTCACCTTTTCGCGGACTTTCAGATGCGTTTCTGATGCCTTCTGGAACGCACTTCCAATATTAGGAAGCCACTGGGAGCTATGTGCTTTTAAATTTGGATTGGAAACTCGTTTCTTTAGAACTGCTTTTTGTGTGTAGTTTATTGTCCTTGCCCCACACCTCCAGTTAGCATGTTTGGCTACGTACGGTGCGAAAGAAGTTCAACATACACTTCTGTGTATGTGCAATATGTGCTTGTTTCAGCTGCCGCGCTCTCTCTGGCCCCTCCCCCCAACCTTATTTCCGATTTAAGCTTCTGTTCATCCCTCCAGCCCCCCTCTCTTTCTCTCTCTCCTTGCTTCCCTGTCCGTCTTTCCTCCCTCCTTGCCTCTTGTGAGCTTGTATATGTATTTCTACTGACTGTGTACCTCGTATTTTTTTCATTCTATGCTGGTATGTGCAATCCAGAGGTTGAACACGAAATTTAACTCTTCTGAAATTCGTGGTCCGCCAGGAAGTGTCTGTGTTGTTGGCCTGACTGGTTGTGCGTCACATAATGTTTCTTAGGTTTGTTGAATTCTCTCATCTTCTTGTTGTATTTACCTCCGTGATTTGTTCTTGACACCTGATGAAGATCGCTTGCGTTGTGATCGAAACGTCGTGATTGTTTTTTTGTTTCAATATAATTTTATTGTATTTCTACATACGTGACTTTACCGAAAAAACCAATGAGTAATTTTATGCAGTCACGAAAGCTTTAATACTTTATTATACACATACAGCCAAGTAACTGGGATGCACCCATTAATGCTGCTACTGCTAAGCATCCACTATATAGTCATTGAGGAAAGACCAAACCCAAACAACAACAGAGCTTTCATCTTGTTGACATTTTACCCTAGGCTGAGTGTAATGAGCCGCCCAACATAAGATTGTAGATTCATTGAGAATGTTTTTTTTTTAAGTAGCAGCAGTGACATCGCTGCAGCATTCCTCCGTTATAGTCCCAAGTATTGCCATAGAGTCCATGACTGTAGTGAGAACCATGGTGGGCGCTTTGCCTTCACCAATGAAGCTTTGTCTTGTAGCACAGCATGGGACCCTCGGCTTAAGTAACACGGTTGCAATATAAAAGCTCTTTATTTTTTGGGTTGTGTCCTGAATGGAAAGAAGCTAGTGTGGAGATGATATTGCCACAGTATTGATTATGCCGGTTTAAAAATAATAATACTATGCACGCATTTATCATAGTTCAAATGCAGTGTATGTTTAACTTTCTGCGGAACATATTCGCGGCTCATGAACCCTTGGGGATAAGCAGAAGCCACGCTGGAGTACTGCATTTTATTTCTGCTCGAGTAAGGTGGAAGGGACTTTGGCCAGGTTTTCGGTGTGACGAAGCAAGTACAAAAACATCACCAACTTACCGCTGATTGCACAGGTTGTATGCATGTTGAGCTTCTTTCGCACCGTACATAGCCAACCATGCTAACCGGAGGTGCGGGGGAAGGACAACAAACTATGGGTCTCTAAATCTCTATGGGTATCTGCTGTGTGAGTCTATGGGTCTTTGCTGTGTGTGTCTATGGGTCTCCGAGTGAGTCGACGATTCTGTGATGAGCCTATGGGTCTCTGTGTGAAGGTGCGGGGGAAGGTCAACAAAGTGAACACACACAGACAACAACAACAACAAAAAGGATACCGCCAATGAACCTGCACGTAATTGATAATCAAGCAGGCGTCCCCATTTGTGGGAGTGCCCTTTTAAGTAACGAGCACCGTCAGCAGGCGTTGGAGTTGCCCTGCTCCAGAGAGCGGCTGGCGGTGTACTCGCATCCGGTGGCGGCCCCCCCGAGCCGGCCGCTGTTTGCCGAGGCTGCTGGTTTTTCGCGGCACCCAAGGGCAAAGGACGAACGCGTCACGGGACACGGCGTGACAAGGGCACTTCTTGTTCGCATTTCCACCCCAGCGACTTGCCTACTGAATTTGTTGCATAACGACCCGCCGCTCCCCCCCCCACACCCCTTTTTGTGTTCACAGTAGTAGGCATCCCCCGAAGGCTTTGGAAGATGGCGGCGTGAAGATGCGTGTGCATTCAGGACCCTCTTCCTCCTCGCCCACGGGGACATTCAAATGTATTTATCACGGCTGGTTAGAAACGTTCACTCACCTTGGCTCGCGACAGCGAGTGCTCTTGCGTTTTTTTCTACTGCTTTTCCGGCATAAACAAGCCCTCTTGCCTCTGCTGCAACTGTATTCTCTCCGTACCGGCATACACAGCTCGCATTACCCGCGAGCGTTCTTACACGTAAGCACGCACGCGTGTGCACATGTACGTAGGTGTGCCGAGTGAATCATTGTGTGTGTGTGTGTGTGCGCACAAGCGCACTTTTGTGCATACCTCCGTAGTCGTGTATTAGTGCGTACATATTTAATCGACGGCAACTTTGCAGCAGAGACCTGCTACAGAAAACACATCGTTCTTGTAAATGTGAACTTGAGCAGCGCGTCGCATGCTCTCGGATGCAAGTTTGAAGCTTTCTTAAATAGACTAAACAATGGAAGTTTAAAACCACGAACGCACTCCAGCGACGTTGCGGTAATCCTATTTGCATCACACGTATGGAAGTGCTGTCACAGTGACATCACTGGAGTGGTCCTTGGTGGTTTTCAAATATTCTTCTCAGTGTTTCAACCCGGTGTTTGAGAGTCTTGAGGCGACACCTCTTGGGTACTTTGCAATTACAGGAACTGTTTGGGTTTTGTTGGGTTGTGTCTTTCAGTAAAATAATATAATTTGTGGTAATTACAGTAAACCCTTGTTCATTCGACACACATGGGGCTCTGGCCTTGCCGAATTATCCAATATTCCGAATTGTGTACAATGGTACTCCCCAGTGCCTCCTGTCCCAATAAATAGAAAATCCAAATTTGTTTCCCAAACTCTTGACACGCCATATGCATTGACACACACACCCCCGCATCAATTGTATCCAAAACTCTGTACAGGTAGTCCCCGACTTAGGATGGGTCGTCGTAACGCATCTCCATCGCAAGTCGGGGACTACCTGTATTTGTCTCGCAGACTTAGGGATTCATACTTCAGTCCCTTTCCATTATTTCTTGATGTAGGTGTAGACGACGTTGCTGAGAGGGTTGGCTTACACAGAGTGCATAAGCAAGGTAAAGTCCAAAGCGGTGGCTCTGCACCAACGCTCACCGCGCTCACCGCGCTCACTACGCACGCCGCGACCAGACCAAGTCAGTGTTTTGGTCGTGGCGCGCATCGCCGCTCCACGTGCATGCCGAAATTGGACCTTTCGCTGTGGCAATTCGGCACGTGGCGAATTTCTAATAACACCGTAAATATCCCGAAAGCGCAGCCGTGCTGAATTATGCCCAATTACGGATTATCAAAGACCGAAATAACGAGGTTTTACTGTACATTGCGTAGGTAATGAATGGACTCGTCTCTTCTCGCCAGCGAGATCGGTGTGCTGTGGCACATTGAATCGTGAAATTGGTATGCTTATGTTAGAACCTTTCTATGTTTTCCGTCTTGAGAAATTGTCGTTTCGATGTTAGCAGATGTTTTGCTTTGTGTTATAGTTTTAAAAAAGAAATACGTCTAAATGGTTGTACATTTGAAGTTGTACACGTAAAAAGAAAAAGTTTTAACTTAAATAAAGTTATTTCATACGAACATGCGTTTCGGCTGCATTATTTGAAAAGATAAAAAACGTAAATTCAGTGACACAACCAAGTTCTAAAACAAATTTCAATTGCATTTCTACGTTTATGGGAATATTTAAATCTTAGTAAATAATGTAAATAAGATTAAGGCAGTTGGCTTACGGATGAGTACTGTTACTGCATTTGCATGGCAAGAAGATGAATGGCCTAGTTAAATTGTTGGCATACAAATGTTTTTTCGCTTGTCAGATTGTTTGGTGGTGGCGGCGTGCCAGCCAGTGTGTCATTACCAACAATGGGGCAAATTGCCGAGCGGCAGCGTGGCGGTGAGATCCTCTCTCCTTCGCCCGGCACGCAGGAGGCTGTGCGTTCGATTCCAGACCCTGGCGATGCCTTTTGTGTATTTGGAGTCCCGCTTGTTGTCTCTCGCCCCGTGGCGGCCGCGTTGATTTTTCAACGGGTTCCTCCGGTTTTGCCCTCCTCCACATTTCGAGACAACGCGCGTTTCGATTATTTAGCTGCGACGATCAATTCCCACGTGTGATGATGATGATGTCGCACTACTTTGATGTGCTATCATGTGTGTGGCCAGGTCAACTCTGAAAGAGAGCTAATAGCTCGGTGACAGTGAAATTAATTAGTTTCGTTGAAGGTGATGTGTTTCGGTAATTTGGTCAATATGTGATTTCATGCCCCGGATGGTTACAAAAATAGCAACTTCGTTGTCATCGTCAACAGTAACCATGATTTATCCACTGCTGGATGAAGCTATCGCCATCTCTCACGATCTTGTGTCGCAATCGCCAGTCGAGCTCCCGCACACAAACAGATCGGCGACTTGCAGTCGATGGAGTCCAGGCTGAAGACGACACCCAATAAAAAAAAATCAATACTCTGTCTTGTCTCGTTCGTCTTTGCCCCGTTACTGCTCACCCATTTTCCTCCCTTACGTGCACGGTGCTCTGAGATGCATTGTTTAAGGACACCTTGTGAATCTACATTATTATTCGGTGTGGTCGGCATCAATAATGTAGTCACTACACCACTGATAATATAGTTACTACACCACTGATAATGTAGTTACTACGCCACTGATAATGTAGTTACTACACCACTGATAATGTAGTCACTACACCACTAATAATGTAGTCACTACGCCACTGATGATGTAGTCACTACACTGATGTAGTTACTACGCCACTGATAATGTAGTCACTACACCACTGATAAAGTAGTTACTACGCCACTGATAATGTAGTCACTACACCACTAATAACGTCACTACACCACTAATAATGTAGTCACTACACCACTGATAATGTCACTACACCACTGATAATGCAGTCACTACGCCACTGATGATGTCACTACACTGATAATGTAGTCCCTACACTGATTGTGGGATATCACTGTCAGTTTCAGGGCAGATCTCACTGTACATTAGGTTTCGCACAGGAAGTTACTAACAAAAGGTGTGGCAAGTGGAGGTAGTAGTGTTCCTGGAGGGCAAAATATAAAAGTAAAAATGTGCCAGTGCTTAGCTTCGTTTGAGATCATTCACGATCTCTGACAAAACTGGGGCGGCAGGCCAGGCAGCTGTGCTGCACGGCTGGGTCCTCTGTACACCTGCATCAATGTCCGTTTGGTAATCCCACTGCTGGATGATGGCCTACCGTGCAGTGATGGGTATTTACCCATGCTTCACGCCGGTCCAATGCGAGTTTGTGAAGGTGTACACAAATAGCAATCCGCGCTTCTGCCCACACGCACCTTCGGCGCATTGTTGTATGCGTGGAACTCCTCGCCCGATCAAAACGCTATCCGGGCTCGGCGCGCACTGCTTAGCTTCCGAAGGATCCGACGGGATAGGGCACATCCCAGGTACACGTGTTCACAAGCGCAAAACAACAGCGGTCTACGCGGTTCCGTCTCTCCGAAGGCCAAATTGGATTATTGAGAGCCCTTGAACAATTCACTCCATCACCCCGTATTGGTTTGACAGTTGGCGCAGATGCCCCAGTGGCACGGATGTCTCTCTACAACGCGTTACGCACCCGTTCGATGTCAGCAGCCACTGGTGGGATTGTTGCCGGTCGGAACGAACGGGTCATTTCAGCAACACGTCCACACATTGGTCAATAACGTTGCCGTAAAAAGGGAAACATACAATGGGCTATAGGGTTTGGGCAATGGCCCTGCTTCTGAGCAGGGAAGGGCCCTCTGTCTTTGCAGCGTAGAAGAAACGCCGATTCCCAAAACGTCACCTAAAAATAAAATCTTTGTTATTATTCACGCCACAGTGGTTGTTGACGAATGCGTGGACTCATTGTTGTTGATTGCGCGTTGTGCATCGCTGCCGACACGACTAGTCGCACATTTTTTTAAAGATAATTTTAGGACTGAGTGTCGGGTCATCATGGGAAAAGCACTTTATTTGCCAACAGCAACGTAGCGACTAGAGACTGTTACTGTATAGAATATTGCAAATGTTTAATAAAGCTACGTGAGAAGCTGCTTACCACTTAATATCTCTTTCGCATTTTAACGAATTCGAGACAAAACGGGTAATTTAAAGTTAAAATGTAATGTTTAATGTGTAGTGTCGATGTGAAGGAGGTTCGTTAAGGATGCTGCCGCGGAGTTGGAGGCAGTCACCCTCTAGCAACAGCGGAGGGCAGAGGAGCGACGCCCACAACGAGCAGAGCGAAGGGCGGCTAAAGCGCAGAGAGGTGCCCCAGTAGAGAGAGGTGGCACAGTAAGGGGCACAGGTGTTGCATCTGCCAGCCGTCTTAGTGAGTCCACCCATGGAACCTGGGGTCTGTCCCGTGACCTCCTGCCAGCCGACCTTCAACTCTTCACGTGGCCTCAAAGTGCACCCAGCATGGCACAAGGATCGGTGGCGACGTCACCGCCACTTGGTGGTGAACGGCGATAGTAATGTTACGTAGAGCCCTTCACAAATCCAACGCTGGATGAATGCTCCCCACGCACGCCTTCTGATGCCTCCCAGCCTGCCCACACGTGCATGTGGCTTCGCGGTGTGCGCGGAACGGGCACGTTACGCCCGTTTAGGCCCCGCGTGTTTGAGAGTCAACAAATGTGCACAATGCACAACAATTCTCAAACATTGCGCGCACGTTGAGTTTTAATTTAAATTGTCACGCATTACGACGGACTGGAACCGAATTGCTTTTAAACTAAATTGTTTATAACTGCCTGGCATTAAAACAGTTATTATTGGGCGTTTGACATTTAACGTCAGTCCAATTTGTTTTTTCTCTTATATTTAATGTGACAGCCAACTCGAATTTAGAACACACACACATACACCTGTACTACGTGGTGAAAACACACACACACACCTGTACTACGTGGTGAAAACACACACACCTGTACTACGTGGTGAAAACACACACACACAACCTGTACTACGTGGTGAAAACACACACACACCTGTACTACGTGGTGAACACACACACAACCTGTACTACGTGGTGAACACACACACACCTGTACTACGTGGTGAACACACACACACAACCTGTACTACGTGGTGAACACACACACACACACCTGTACTACGTGAACACACACACCTGTACTACGTGGTGAACACACACCTGTACTACGTGGTGAACACACACCTGTACTACGTGGTGAACACACACACACCTGTACTACGTAGTGAAAACACACACCTGTACTACGTGGTGAACACACACATACCTGTACTACGCGGTGAATACACACACACATAGCTGTACTACGTGGTGAACACACACACACATAGCTGTACTACGTAGTGAACACACACACACAACCTGTACTACGTGGTGAATACACACACACATAGCTGTACTACGTGGTGAACACACACACACACCTGTTCTACGTGGTGAACACACACACCTGTACTACGTGGTGAACACACACACACCTGTACTACGTGGTGAACACACACAGCTGTACTACGCGCGGGGCCCTTTAAAGTGCGGGGCCCGTAGTTACTACACATGACGTGGCTACTACACATACGTGGCTACTACACATACGTGGCTACTACACATGACGTGGCTACTACACATACGTGGCTACTACACATGACGTGGCTACTACACATACGTGGCTACTACACATGACGTGGCTACTACACATGACATGGCTACTACACATGACGTGGCTACTACACATACGTGGCTACTACACATGACATGGCTACTACACATGACGTGGCTACTACACATACGTGGCTACTACACATGACATGGCTACTACACATGACGTGGCTACTACACATACGTGGCTACTACACATGACGTGGCTACTACACATGACGTAGCTACTTTTGCAACGAGGATAATCCGTCACTGGACGTGGATCTTGCACAGTCACTTTAAGATATTTTCTTGTTCGTGTTTTTTTGTTTTTTGTTTGTTGTGGTTGCACCCGATTCAAGAGCCGAATGGCTCACAGGGCTATACCAAAATAAATAAACTGAAACTGAAAAATGGTGTTACTGTGCTCCTCCAGGGAGGGGTGGTGGGGGCGTCCGGGGAAAGAGAGAAGTGACAACATCGTCCTCGCCGATGCAATGTACAACTTGAAATAACTACCAGGAGAGAGCGCGAAGTGGTTAAGGGGGTTGAAACGTGGTCGGCACAACTCGAAAAGTTTGGGGAAACCGCGGATGGTCTGGAGTAAAGGTTAAGTCTGTTACGGCAGCTCTAAGTAGGGTGCAGGGTTAAGGATTATTCTTTAAAATCCAGGCACTGCAGAACTACTCTTAAACATCGCCACATTTGTAATATCATCACTCTACGGTAATCAATCCGCCGTGTATACAATGTACCCGTTGCACACGCTGTCCCGCGTTAGTTTGTGTCCACGGGATAGTTATACTGTCTCTGTATGCAGGGGCGGAGCCAGGATTTTCAGCCCGGGGTGACATTCAACACATTTTTAATTTCAAGAATGATTAAGAGAGAGTCAGGCTGTTGAACTAGACGCCATCGGTTTGGCGACACACTCTGACAATGCAGTTGCACGGAGTCCGCCAGACCGAGTGTCGTACACTTACACGCAGAATGTTTCAGATTTTCGATTTTTGTTATTTTTTTTCGGGGGTGACAATTGTCTACCCTGTCACCCCCCTGGCTCCGCCCCTGTCTGTAGGAGGGAGAGGCACGCGTGTGGACAATGCAGCTGTGGGTAAAATCGTGACGAGTCTGCCGCGCGCGTGTGATCAAACAAAACACCGTCGGGCGATATTGAGCATGACCTCAGCCCGTAATTGGAGCCATTATTGAGACAGCGGCTCTCATCTGCGGTGGATGAGAAATGCTTGGCAAGCAAAGCCCGAGGCGTATTGCGACACCCATCACTTCTAAAGCCCGTGGCCATAAAATTCCCTCCCGTTCTGCGACGGGTTGAGAGTCACGGGGGCAGGCGGAGGCACCGTTTGTTCCAGTGAGGTTTAATTTGTTTCGGGAGGGGAGGGGGGGTCCTATCTGTGATCGGGGGTTTGTATTCGTTGGCTGGGCCATGTAGCCCGCATGCCCAGCCACCGCATGCCTAAACAGATTTTGTTCGGCCGGATTGAGGGGGCTCAACGGGCGCGGCACGGGCTAGAGAAGAGATGGAGTGATGTGGTACAGGAGGACGTGGAGCTGAGTGGACTTGCCGATGACTCCAACCAGCGGTTGGAGGCAGTCGCCCTCCAAAAACAACGGAGGGCGGAGGAGCGGCGCTCACAACAACGAGCGGAGCGCCGGGTGGCTAAAGCACAGCAAGTTGGCACAGTAGGGGGCACAGGTGGTGCATCAGCCAGTCATCTCAGTCAGTCGACCCGTGGTACCTGGGTCTGCCCCGTGACCTCCTGCCAGCGGGCGTTCTACA